TTTACAAATTTCTAAACATATATATATATATATATATATATTATTAGGGTCTTGAATCATCCCCATGGAATCTACGTACCAAAACAAGTTTTTATCTTAACGTTTAAAAATTCCGGTGCATAGTACATATCTGGACCTACAAAATTATTTAATATCCTTGTCCTTAATTCAATTAAAGAACTAGGTAAAGGGGATAATGAAGCCGTATAACGTCTTATTCCAATTTGCCTTATGATTTTAAGATTTTCAACATGTCGTTCTGCTACACTTCCTGTAAAATTTAATAAATATGGTGGTCGATATGGTGATTGAGAATATGCTACAATCTTATCTTTTGACATTTTAAATTTTTCAGAAGTTAAAAATAGTGTAGTCCAAGTTTCTTGCCATATACGTTGTTTAATATGCTTAGAAAAGTCTAAATTAGGTGAATATATATTGATACTAAAATCCAATCGTTTCTTTATAATCTTTACGAAATTTTGATAAGGTCCTGTCTCTTTAAGTATATACCACAGCACTGCTATTCCAACAATACAATTAATAACTATGATACATATGGAGATCCCCTGATATGGTCCAACTTTTAATATTACAACCATTCCGAGGATTGCAGTGATCACATAACCAGATCGTGTCCAGTATTCACTAGCATTTTGTGAAGCAAAAATGTATGGTTCATTTCTCCAGTGAATAAGCAATAATAAAACCATGAGAACAATTTGTAAACCTTGACGAATTGATTCTATGCGGGTTCGTGGCGTATTCCGGAATATGCAATTGTCTTTAGATATTAATGAAACTAGAAGTATATTAAAAAATTTGTTGGCCATTATAAAGGATTTGTAGGCTATCCATCTTTCATTATATGCTATATATATATTATATCAATTTGTTTATAATTAAAATAATTAAACCGTTAAAGGAAATTATAAATAACAATTATTAATCACGTACCATTATACAAAAAATTATAAGGGCAAATATCTTTCTCCAATAACTTTCTATATTCACCATCTTTATTCGCAATTCTTTCACCAACTTCATTGTATTCATCAACTTTAGGTGAATTCTTGTCCACTAATCTTTTTAAAGCAATAGGGAACCAAAAAGTCAACAGTGCAAGTGTTACCAATGCAACGCCTATAATTACTGGTGAAAAGTTCCAATCACCTTTTCTCATACTAGTAACATAACAAAAATCGTTAAAGTCTCTATTGCCTGTAATATTATTGAAGTAACTAAAGTCTGGTGAATCGCTATAAATATATGGATTTGGTATTGCCCAGAATGTGTCACCCCAAACTAAAGCGTCAATTGAGAGTTTTGATATTGGAAGATAAAGGGTTGTTAATAAGAAAGTTATTATTATATTTTGACGGCGATTTGTTTTGGGACGTAGATTCCATGGGGATGATTCAAGACCCTAATAATATATATATATATATATATATATGTTTAGAAATTTGTAAA